TACTGGTCATTTAAGTTTGAAATTGGGTTTTACACATCGATTAATAGAATGATGGGTATATGTCTAGGAAATAGAAATTGTAGGGACCTATATTGGACAACCTTTTTTTTTTTTTTTGGGCCAAACAATAAGAGAGATTTTATTGATAACGAATAGTAAGGTTTACATCTTTAGCTAGAGTATCAAAAAGCCAATTGATGCCCACCTCATCCCACCGGTGGACACCCCCAACCAAATGGGCTGCTTCGTTACACTGCCACGGCGAGAACAAAAACTCTACTGAGCTAAAAGAATTGCATAAAAACCTACTATAATGAATTAACCCTTCTAAGGTCATATCAATTTTGTCTTTATCCTGAAGCATTTTAATAAGATGCAGGCAATCAGTTTCTGCTAAAATATGAAACCTAATATGAGAATATTTGTTTGTGGGAATTTTCTGTGTATTCTTCTCCTTGTAGGAGGTCATATTTATAATACAACGAAACCTGAATGGGCAAGTAAATAATAAATTCCTAAATCTATTTACAGTAGGAAATCAGGAATTAAAGTAAATCAATTACAATTATAATAGGAATTCTTGGTGTGTAAGGAAAGTAAGTCAACAGTCCACAAGTCACGCCAATACTCCCCCTCACGTTGGTGCATAGATGTTGCCAATGCCCAACTGGTCCAGTGAATTATGGAACGCTTTACTGGAAATTGCCTTTGTCAAAATATCCGCCAATTGATCCTCGGACTTTATGAAAGGAAACTGAATCACTTTAGCTTCGAGCTTCTGTTTGATATAGTGTCGATCTACCTCAACATGTTTGGTGCGATGCAATAGCTATTGCAACCTTGTTGTCACAAAAGAGATTCATTACAGATGTAGGTCTATACCCAAGTTCAGTAAGCAACCTCCTTAACCAAATGAGTTCGCAAATTCCTTTGGTCATACCTCTGAACTCGGCTTCTGCACTGGATAAGGCGACCACCTTCTGTTTCTTGCTTCTCCATGTAACCAAATTACCTCCCACAAATGTGAAGTAACTAGATGTGGATTTCCTATCTGTTATACTTCCTGCCCAATCTGCATTTGTGTAACCATCAATATTCAGATGACCATGTTTTGAGAACATAAGTCATTTTCCAGGATCAGACTTCAAATATCTAAGTATCCGAATAACTGCATTCATGTGGTCTTCACTCGGAGAATGCATAAATTGACTGACGACGCTCACCGCATAAGCAATGTCTGGCCTAGTATGAGACAAGTAGATCAATCTTCCCACTAACCTTTGATATCTTTCTTTGTTAGTTGGAACTTGATTCGGATATTCTCCAAGATGATAATTCTGAACAATAGGAGTGTTCGCGGGTTTGCAATCTAGCATTCCTGTGTCTGTCAACAAGTCCAAGACATATTTCCTTTGAGAGAGAAATATGCCTTGCTTCAATCGAGCCACCTCAATTCCCAAGAAATACTTGAGTCCACCTAGATCCTTCATCTCAAACTCAGTAGCCAAATAGTCTTGTAGTTGTGATATTTCCTGTTTATCATTCCCAGTAATAATCATATCATCAACATAGATTATTAATGTCGTTACCTTCCCTTTCTGATGTTTCAAGAACAGAGTATGATTTGAGTTGCTCTGTTTGAAACCATTGTTCTTCATTGCCATGGTGAACCGTCCAAACCATGCACGTGGTGATTGTTTCAATCCATAAAATGTTTTTCGTAACCTGCATACTGTTCCAGTCTGAGTAGTATTATATCTAGGAGGAATGTCCATGTACACCTCCTCCGTGAGTTTTCCATGTAGAAAAACATTCTTTACATGAAACTGGTGTAGTGACCAATCCAAATTAGATGCAAGGGACAATAAAACTTTGACGGTGTTCAACTTTGCAACTGGTGCAAAGGTTTCTTCATAGTCTATACCATATGTCTGTGTGTACCATTTTGCCAAGTCTTGCCTTGTATCGCTCGATAGATCCATCTGCATTGTGTTTTATAGTAAACACCCATCTACATCCAACAGTCTTTTTTCCTTGTGGTATAGTCTCCAATGTCCAAGTTTGATTTTTTTTCTT